GCTGCAGCGTCTCTTGTCAGAATTTTGCTGCTGCTCTTGTCCATAAATAGATATAATGACTTCAGCTTGACTGAATGAATGGAGTTGCTCTACTGTCATTCTAAATCTTTTCAATTACACTTAGAGGTCACTGGATATAAAGGCCTGGACATGTCTGCGCGTCAGCTCATGTAAATATAAATGTGTCACAGGGCTCCACACAGAGAGCATACATCATGTAAAAAGGTTTTTATGAAAGGCACTTGTGACTAATGGAGAGCACCTTTGTTGAACAGTGTTGGTGTGATTGTGTATTTTTGGAGTGGTAAGTTGTAAGTAGGCCTGTATTTTCATTTGCATAGGTAAGTGTATAGATCATAATACATTATAGAAGAGCTGCACCCCAGTTATATTCATATTCTGGATTTTCTTCTGCACTAGGAATCAGAAAGCAAACATTTTAGGTTTGAAAGATTTGGATTCAAATTTTGTTTGTAAGTGAGGGAGCAGAAAAGTTAAATATTTTGCAACAATGCTTAAATAATTTGGCCCACGTTATGCATTTTGTTGACTTATATTATCTGAAATGTGTCCAACAATGTCATATCCACTTGACTCTGCTATAACTTCCAGGGCAAATGACATGACGGGGAAAAAAACACAACTGTCAATCATGCAAAATGGTAAAAATGGTAATGTTTGTTTTTTTATGTTGGTCTATGTCCCCTTCGCTAACATGGAGGAGGCCAGGTATATGACCTGTACTGCAGCCAGCCACCAGGGGGCAATTGAGAGGCTTTGGCTTCACTTTTGAGGAGCTGTTGTCAATGATTTCAACCATAAGTCATAAACCATAAACCCTGCCTCCTCCGTGTTACTGGATGGGACATGTATGAAACATTCTGCCACTTATTAGCTAAAATACATTTAGTCAAACCAACATTAACATTGTTCTGGTAGTGCCAGTGTAATTAGTAAAAAGGTTTGGAACAATGTATCTGGCTTTTTGTTTCAAAATGACAAAGAGCTCCTCGGCTCATTGACCCATGACGACGATTCTGAGTCTCGCTCTGTGTGGGAAGAACAACGGGACATGCACTGTGCATCAATAGCACCAATAAGTTGTATAGATTTTCAGAATGCAATTCTGAGGAGAAGAATGAAAACTATTAATCCAAGTGTAGAGGCCAGTCTGTGTGGACAAGTAATAACTTACATTCAATTATTGTGGCAGTTGTTGTATAAAAGCTATTGATTTATGGATGCCTGCCCTTTGCTTCACAGTCAAGTCCACAGGTTTCTGGTTTTTCTCTTAGATCTCATGGCTGACCAAACTCCAACTCTATCCTTTTCTCCCGCTCTTTATCTTTTTCTTATGCTTTTCAAAGCCAGCCTTTTGAGACTTGGAATAAATTTGTTCCCATTCAAGGGTGACATCAACAGGGACTGGAGAAACTCCACACTAACTGTTCAAAGGGATTCAGCTCATCTGTGGCACTTCTGCCTCGACTCACAGACCAAAGCCTTTTTTATCAGGAATAAATTAGAAATCATATTCAAACTGTGCACCTTCATGTGCTTTGCTAGTCTGATTATAAAGCTCTCTGCTTCAATATTCATCAGCTCATTCTCATTAGTCAAACGCATTCTGTATTAAAACTGTATTAAAACATCACCTATATGAGATGTTTGTGGTTTCATCAGTGTCTTTGCATTAGTTTTGAGATACTGTTTGTTGTATTGACTAAAACAAAAACACACACAAGTTTAAATTGCAATTTCTGCCCATACATTAGCGGTTTGGGTTTTTCGTTCCTGTTGTACAGTTTTGATCGGAGTAATCAATTCTCCTTTTTCCACCAAATTAGCTCTCCATTCATTAACCTTAGTGGTGCCTGGTGAATCAGTTTGTGTTCCTTATTAATGGAGGGCGTTGCACGCTGTACAAATAAAGTAAACAGTAGTGAGATGGTAGATTGCATGTGATTGTACTCTTAATGTGTATACATTTAACACATTATACAGCCAGTGACTTTGAAAGTGTGCACAAATGCACGTCCTCTTACTTTACAAGAATGAAGCCAAAATATCCTGGACACGGTGTCTCAGCTGTCTATCATGACGTTTCAGTCCATTTTTATGTCAAAAAACTAATAACAACTAACTTCAGTATTCATCTGTTTCATAAGAACAGCCTTAAATGTATTCAGCATGTACTTTTTAGTTTGATCTGTGTCCCATCCACTAAAATGGAGGAGGCGGGGTCTATGACCTAAACTGCAGCCAGCCAAGAGTATGATCACTAATCAAACACATATAAAAACAGTGCCTCTGCAAAGGGGAAGAAAATCTTCATTCCTAGACCACCGACTTTGGCAGCGTGTCACCTAGCAACACCTCCCACTAATGTGTCTAAACTATTTCATCCACCTGTTTAAAATGGAAAAGTATGCACAACAGTTACAGTAGCATTAAAATACTTTATACTTCCTGACTCAAAAAGTTTTGAGATTTCAAATTTCTATTCGACTTAAAATCTCTTCCATTTGTAGGAGACCACTTTATGGCTCCCACATAGATGAGCACTCCCAATCTGAAGCCAAACACTAAAACACCAGCCAGTTTTAGGAAGAAGAGGAGGAGGAGGAGGTTTTCTATAATTGCTGGAGCCCATAAAAGGCTGGGCCTGCAAGAGCAGTTTCAGACACTCATGGTCTTTTTCAATCTGTCTCAGATGCTGTGATTAGAGGGCGAGCTACTGCAACAGCATTTCCAAAAATGTCATTTTTGGAGCCGTCACAGTGATTTCTCCATCTGTTTGCTGGAGTAACGACATCCGCCCTTAACACAGGGAGACAGGCGTCGCATTGGCCTCCTGCCTGATCTTTAGTGGGCTCTGCTTTTAGGGGGGGGGCATTTGAGTCTCCAGCACAGAGAGAGGGGGATGAGACCAACACAGAAAGTATGGGGTGTCTTGGCAGTTTTTCTTTACGCCTTAATCAGGAAGATAAGCCATGATTCGCCTTAGTCTGACTCAGTTAAAATGAGAAATGCCATATGACACTGATACAATGCCCACACACGCATAACTAATCCCTCCAAGACATTGCAAGATGTTTGGAGGAAGTGTTGAGGCAGGTGAAAGGGTTTACATTGAAGGATAGCGTTCTGAATTCGTCTCAGGCTGCAAAAACACTTTATTTTCCCACACTTTTGAAACATTTACATCCTGGGTTCACACAACTGCAGAGTCATTGAGCCCCTTAAATTCAGCTGGCCCCATTTTACTTAAAAGTCCAGATCGGCAAAAGACTTGTGGACAGTTTTGCCAGATACAGCAGTTGAAAAATCACTAAGATGCATTTACATATTATATTTCTATACTCAGCAATTTTATCATCAGACTGTCGACACAGCCGTCAGCGCTTCAGTATCTTGCACAATGACACTTCACAATGCAGACTGGAGGAGCTTAGGATCAAACCACTGACTTTCTGGTGAGCGGACCACCCTGTGTATATATATATATATAAGTCATTCCACTCACAAAAAACAGATTCACTTATTAACTTAGCAGCACAAAAAGACAATATGTCTGTTGTATACTCAATATGTTATTAAATCCACTGTAGGAAAAATGCTTATAATTCAAACAAAGCAGTGTCATGTACTGCACATTGAACTCCCTGCCATAGTTGCATGTCATTAAAATAGTAGAAACCTCTCTTTGCAGCCTTTCCATTTTTACCTCTTCAGGTACTTTCCACCTGCTAAAAGCTAAAGTGCGACTCTTTCTCTGGGTTGGATCAAATCAGAAGGAAAACATTTGTGAGTGCTGTTGAAGGGAGAAAAAAACATCAGTCTTATTTTAAGAGGAGATCACTGAAGGTCACCCAGGAGATCCAGCTGGTTCAGGACAAAAGTTCAGCTGCTCAGATTACACTGCTCTTAAATAACAAAGATCTGTTGGTCGTGATTGAGTCCTAAGAAGATTTAGCTGGAAATCCTTGGATCAATATCATTGTCCAGGTAGTGAAACACTTTGATGAGCAGCTTATAAAGTTCACTGAGGCATTCTCATATTAACTGGTTCATTGATTAACTTAAATGAGGATTTCAACAGAGGGTGTCAAGGTCAATTATCAAATGAAAATTAATAGATTATTGAAAAATACATATACCCTAAAGAAATACACTTTGACCAAGGTCACAATGTTATACCGTCTCTACAGGAAAGAACATGTCCTCTTGAAAATAAATCTGGAATTATCCTTTAATCTTCCTCTTTCAACATTAAATTCTAAGAAATCCAGTTTCTTACAAAGTTTCTTTTTCATTAAAAACTCTGTTTGCTTATTGATAATCTAACCCTTTATTCTGAGTTCATATCTTCAATAATGCTTTCAATCACTGTGCAGAGAATTTCTACATAAGTACAACACTGCTCTCTGCTGGTAGACACTGGAATACACTTAGAAAAAAGTGACATCAAGATGAACGCCACTTGATTTTCCTACTAAATTCCTTCGTGAAACTCATCACCGTTGTCTTGGGCCTTGTTCACCACCTCAAATGTAATTTATAGCACAGGTGTCAAATGTCTCAAAAGGTTTATTTCAGTTGATAGTAACACACATTTAAAAGCAGGTTGTAATCTTAAGAAACCACACTATATTTTTGATTAGCATGAATTTAAAGTTTAACACCTCAAAAACTTCATCCACACTTCTCTTAATTTAGGAGTCAGTCAAGCTTCTGAGGTGGAAGTCTTCCTTCAGCACACAATGTAAAACATAACTTGCCAGGAGAGCAGAAAGACTGTTCAGCAGTTTTTACACTCACAGGATGTACTGGAATACAAATATTCAAAAACTTTCTGCAAGATTAGTGCTTCAGTATAGTTTCTTCTCCATTAGCTGCTGAAGTGCTGCAAACAAAATACTCAGTTTACTAGCATGTTACTGCAAATAACCATTTCACCCTAAGTGCAATTCAGGATCATGAACAAACGAAAGTCAAGACACCATTTATAAACATTTATTTATCTTTATTGGCCAGAGGGAACCAGCTCAGACAAGGACTCCATATTGTTTCAGAACTTGTGTGTATGCTGCGATCTTGCCCTCAACGTTCTTTTCCGCCTGCTTGGTCAGCTTGACCATTGTCTTTTTCTTGGTGTAGCGGAGCTTGGCCTTCTCCTTTCTCTTCTCCTCCAGGGTGGCTGTGATGGCCTGGTACTTCCAGCCGACCTCATGTGCCAGACGGCCGAGGAGGGCGTACTATGAGGGGAAAGGGAGTGATTCACAGTTAACATCTGCAAAAAAACCATTCTACCAAACTAGGTTTATACGACCAGCAGCAACTAAAACTACTACAAATGCTAAAGAACATTGAATTCCATAAGAAACATTTTCCATACTGCATTTAACCACTTGATTATATGATCAAAGGACACAACTTGTTCTAGACTCAACTCAGGAATCAGATCCGTTTGTCTCATCAATGGATGATCAGTTTAGGAATAAAGATTTCATCAATGTCAAGCAAGAACTGTTGTGGCAGGTGAACTTAGGCTTTCTGATGTGTTCCAATTTTACATTTATTAAAGGCTTACCTTGCGAGTGGGCTTCAGACGCACAATCTTAAGAGCAGCTGGGACGACCATACGCTTCCTCTGTGGGACAAAATTCACAAGTCAGATAAAAGAAGAAAGGGGCACGACTACACACTGCTCAGGCAGCGTGTCTCAGACATTTGTTTGTTTTCAAAGGTCACTCAAACAAGGTAGGTAAGGTATTTAGATTGACATCACAGACAGCAGAGATGAAGCCATGTGTGGCCCATAGGGAATATGGATGTGCAGTTCTTTGTTGCAGCTCATCACCTTGTCATAGGGCGGGGGGATGCCGTCAAACACCTTCAGCCTCTCCAGAGCAGCCTGACCTCTCTTGGTCTTGTGGGGCAACATGCCTGAAAGCAAAAAGAAAATTTTAAGTTCAATAAAATGTCAAATAGTGTCGAATGCAGCCATTACAAATCGTAAATTTGTCCAAGCACAAATGTACACCCCACTGAACTCAGAAATCAGATCCGATAAAGTTTGTCTCATCAAAAGATGATCAGCTTCGGGATAAAGAGCTCATCAATGTCAAATGAGGAACAAGTTGTGCTGGAGCAAATGAACAAAAACAATTCTGATTTGCCAGTTTAAGACTGAGTGTCTGTTTCTCCCTTTGAAGCCTGATTACATTTCATGAAATGCTTCTTTATCGTGGTTAATAAAAACATCTTTATTAGCTAAATTTCACACCTTTGTTAGTCAGTTTTTCTGCAGTCCTGGTCCACTAGACACATTTGTGGTCCCAGTTCAGTCATTTGCAGACAACCTAAGATTTCAACAGACTTTGACTTGCCTGCTAAACCTTGTTTCTCAGAATATGAAGAAACAACGTAACTACTTCCAGCCAGGTCTTGCTTTTAGTGCACAGATTAAAAAAGCCAAATGTTTAAGATCTTCAAGTGTTATTTCAGGTTTCTCAATCTGTTTCAGAGGCTAAGTGAAGGTTTTTGGCAAACTGGCCACCATCTTAGGTCAATGGGTTTCAAATTTCCCAGTTGTGTTTACAATGCATGTCAATTTCCTTAATGTTAATGTCCATTTAAATTGATAAAATCAGGCTAAGAATATAATCTGCACTGAATTAACAGTATTTAAGTTTCATTATCTAGATTCTTGCCACATTCTCACCTCTGACTGTCCTCCAGAAGATCCTGCTGGGAGCTCTGAAGTGGTATGGGCCACGAGAGGGGTTGGTGTTCATCCTCTTACGCAGGAAAGCGAGGTACTTCACTGAAGAGGGCACAAATATACTTTAGTACAGGTGACAAATACTTAACTCCAAGTTGTGGAAACCATTACTTCAGTATGGTAATGCTGATGTCTCAGATGGTAGTGCATGTGAGGTATTCTCATGGTCATTTAAACTCGAATTACAGTGAAAAATCATCATCATTGACAAGCATGTTCAAAAGCCTAAATGGAAATAAAGGTGTCACTTACGCTTGTTGCGGTAGAAGTTGCCAGAGATTTGGATTCCCTCACATCTCACAACCACAACTTTGTGACCTGAACACAGATGAGAACATAAGTTAAACATTTGAAATGAACAAAGCCATTAAAATACCATGCAGCTGTATGCTGTCTCAGATGGTAGTGCATGTGAGTTTTCTCAAGGTCGTTAAACTCAAAACAGGTAGCTCATCACCGACAGAATGGAAGATTACTCAAATGTGCCACTTAGTATTAAGTAAGTTGTGTTCAGGTACATTCTAAACAAACTTTAACAGATAAGCAACATTCACAAGTTAGATCTCAATTCTTACTTTATAAAACTCACCCAGCAGAACCTGTTTAGCCACGAGGGCAGCGAGCCGACCAAGTAGATGGCCCCTGCCATCAAGTAGCAGAACCTGCAGGTTTAAAAGACAGAGGGACAGACATTTTAATTCTAACGTAAGCTTCAGCGTCACTTTACAAGATATAGTTAACCACATGAAGAATGCTACGTCTTTAACTACTCGATGCTAATCAAGTTTGAGTGAACTCCTCATAATCGAGATTTGCAAATAATAACTTCTCAAAGTTGTTCAGGATAAATCCATGAAGACGCACGTTTTTCCCCCATGAGCTCTGACGGCCGCATGGACACCAACTACCGCTTGAGCTACGTCGTTAGCTTAGCATCACCATCAAAGCACGCCAGCGCGGTTACTGTGATTTTACCTTCAAATAAGGCGGATGGAAATTAAAGCACGATTATCACGAGTCAACATCGGTAAAACCGCACATACGTCATTAGGATTTTAACTTAACGAGGGCACGAGCTAAAGCCAACAAGCTAACAGCACTGGCTCGTCAGGGAAGCTGCCATGATGGAGGCATGTCTACTGGGCTGGAGCCTAGCTGCCTCAAACGTGTTCAAATTTAGCATTAAAACAAACATCAAACTAAACAGAGATTACACCAAAATGTACCTGAGATTATCCCCCGCAGTTTACATGTGAAGGAGACGACTAGACTCCCCGTTAAAGGCAAAAAGGAGGAATAATGATCCGCAGCCTTTACGCACCTTATTGAACCGGTCCGCCATGATGAGCGAAAAGAAAGAGACACGGGGCTGCCCCGCAGAAAAAGCAGGGGCAGACGGAAGTGACGACATATGAATTCTTTCTCGCGAGACGTGGTGCAGAAACGTGTTTTTTTTTTTTTTACTTTATGTGTTAAAGATTTCACGAAATATTTTAAATGTTATGTAATGATAATAACGGGAAAATCTTCGGTTCACAAATATTCTTTGTCAAGCAAATTGCAATTTTTTTTCTCCTTCCTGATTCTAAACATAGTTTATTTATTAACATTTACATACAGTAAAATATGATTTTACATCAACAAAACATAAATATGAATAAACGACTCATTAGTTTTGCTATATTTAGAATTGTATTTGCAATTTGCCTTCATTTTAGCCACTAATTCTCTGTATTTTATGTTTGCTGTCTTTGTACTCATTGCTTTTTCTCTCATAAAACTTATTTCCATTTACAATGTTTATTAATTAATGAAATGTAAATTCACCTTGATAAATAAAGTTGCTGTTGGATGAAAGGAGTTTGATTAAATGTCGATAAAAAAACTATAGCATTTCTGCTGTCAGATTGAAACCTTTAACTTCAGGATATTATATGATACACTGTACATTTTATTATTGATGCATAGTCTCCTGTTTGCCAACATTAGGCTAATATTAATATCAATATATATAGTTATGTCATACTAGTAATATCATAGCAGCATGTTGTGTTTCACAAACTCTACCTGAGAAGATAAAACTAATGATTCCAAGTAGAAATTCATTGACTGGGATTTCTCTGCTTCAAGGGTGGATCACAGGGAAAAAAAACAACTTCCTCAAGGCCCCAGACACTCAGGTCTTGTAACCTTAGATTTGTCAAATATGCAGGGCTGCAGAACGACTTGTTTCAGCAGTCAACAATATGTCCATTATTCTTATGATTAATTATTTTTGTAAAATACCATAAAATTGTGAAAAATGTTGATTTGAGTCCAAGGTGCTGTCTTCAGATGGCCAAGTCAAAAACATAGATATTAAATTTGTGTTGACATAAAACACTAAGGAGCAAATCCTCACATCTGCTAAGTTGACTTAAGGGAAGATTTAGTAATTTGTCTAAAATAATACACAATGAATCAAAACGACTGACCTTTTTGAAAGAATGATAAAAAAGAACTTCCAAAGCTGTTTACATTACAAATTTATTCATACAGCACACAAGAAGATCCTTTGATCTTGCCATTTGAAGTGTTTTAAGGTTGTTCCAAGGAATACAACTCAAATCCCAGCATGCAATTGAAACAATAATCATTTAATGAACAGCTTCAATAACTTTCAAGCATTTACAGAACAGTCATCCACACATTCATATCCGGCCCGGTGAGACGGCGCATGCAGCAAACCGAGTTATTTCTTAAGGTGTCTGACGGCGAAAGGGAAGTTAGTCATCATGCTTCAGCTTCCTGATCTTCCCCTTGTGGCGGTCGATCTCGCACTGCAGACGTTCAATCTCCTTTTTGTGGTGGTCAATTTCTTCCTGGTGGTGCTGCTTCAGTGCAGCCAGCTGCTCCCTCTCTTTACGCCTTGTGTGGATAGATACGACAGCACGCGACAACACAGAAGAGAAAACGTTAACAACAGGAGGGAAGGGGGAGAAATTAGGACAGCAAGAGATGATCACAGTAAAAAGAAAATGTGGTGACTTGAGAGTTAACTAGAGCCCAGACTCTCTGTCAACGTTCGATTGCCACAGAAGTACACACTTGAAGTACATCTCCTCCTCAGCGGCCTGTTTCTTCCCCATGGCTCCACCTGCCTCTCTGATGGACCCTCCACCTCCACCACCTTTTCCTGCTCCTTTACCCAGCTCACCCAGCTGAGAAATCCAAAGACAAAATGTTTAGTGTCAAATGATCAGCAACAAATGGAAGCCTGGTTATGACTTTACTCCATTGACATCTCTCCAGAGGACATGGGCATCAAATTACAAAGTTTTAAAGTCAGTTTCTTGCATAGGTTTTGTAATTAATACGTGTTTCTGTGATATTAGAGTAGCTGGACCAGGATGTTGAGAGAACTCCCCTGTGAAGGTCAAGATTGTGTTTATTTCAAAATGGAGGCTTCTTTGTTTGGGAGGTGCTGATAGAGACAGAGGTATTTGGAACAGACTGGAAACTGTTTTGTGCAAAAACAAAGAGGTGAAAACAGAGACAGCTTCATAATATGAGGCTGATTTACTTTGATCAAAATGGCCTCACAGGCAAACACTGGTATTTTTATTTAGACAGACACTTCACGTGATTGAAATGAAACCTTGCTGATTTATGATCGACCCTGTTTCACTGGATCCATTGAAACCACATTACCACCACACTCCTCTGACATGTTATCATCTCAACAGTTGTCTAACTGCCTCCGTGAAGGTGAAGCTCAGGTTTGTTGAGTCACACGAAGCAGCAGTTTGTGGTTTGTTCGTGTGTTCCGTGTGTGTTTACCTGGTCTGATGACATCCGGAGCTGAGAGCTGATGAAAGTCCTGACGCTGGGCCTCAGAAATCTCGCCATGTTAGACTCACATATGACAACAACACTGACAGTGACGGTGTCCTTGTCCTCACACAGCTCCACAGGGCGGCGCCATTACTCACACAGACCAGGGGTGTGACGACGACGACACGAGCTGCACGTTGATCCTTAAAACAAACTTATGTTCGTTAAATAACTATAACCACAGAACTAATCTGGAAGAGTTTTTTTTAAATACACATACACTGCTTCGTTTGACTTAGTATGAAGTTGAAAAGTAATGTTATATTGCGTGAGGATATTATATTATATTATCAGCCCCCCTTTTTTGTAATGGTATGGTCTCAAAGATTGGGTATATCGCACCTCGCACGTTTTTTGGGACTGAACCATTAAGTTGTTTAAAAAAAACTATTTACACTTTTTAAAATTAAGATTCTATATAACAAATAAGGAACATGTGCAATGTTTAAGGTATTTGAAAGGAAATATATTTAAATATGAAAGAAATCTTACCTTGCAAATGTAGGTATTCGGCACATACAGACTTATTTAATGGTATTATATCATTTTATTTTTCAAGTCAAACTTAATATAACAGAATATTGGAACACTAATACATTTAAGTATGGAACATGCCTTTGTTTATTTTATGTAAATAAAGTCTCCAGCCATTAAAACCATTAACACACACAATCGGAATGAGTAAGTCAATGATAAAAATAGTACCTAACGTATTATGGTGTATTTGACATTGTGTTGCATTATAATTTCTGTTACTACTAAGAAACACCCAGGATAACAAATGCTTTGAAGAACTTTATTCAATGCTGCAAAGGAAGTATACAGCCCCCTCTTTGAACAAACCAAGCACTGGCTTATTCGTGAAAGGAACCTCACAGACACCGTCCCTGAAGTTGCCTATAAATACTTTACTTTCCAGACAACTCTGCGCTCACTCCGGCCCGAAATCCAAGAGAAGAAAATAAAAAACACTAGTTATCAACTTAAAATTTCAATCCACATTCAAAATGTTTCACAATTCACTTCATACGTCAATACTCTACTCATCAAAGTTACATATATACAGGTATGGTTGCACCCTTTGTTGGTGAGCAAGTGCTTTAGAAAAAAGTAAAATTACTCTCCCCAATGCATGTAGAAAATAAAAATCACAAGTCTAACCGAATTTCAAATGAAATTTTCTTCTGCACTGCTGTTCATAATATTTCCACTATCTGAACAAACAGCAATAATTAGAGGCACTCACATTGTTTACTGTAATAAAGTATCAACATTATTCCTCTTACAAAACTGGGGATTTGAAGACTGAATTAACATGTGTTCTCTTGAGCTTGCTTGGGGATAATGTATTAAAATTAAATTAAATAAAATTAATAGTTGCACTTTGACAAATCAAATTCTGGCCTGTGTGTTTGCAAAAAGTATTGTCATGAGGTTTATAAGAAGTCTGGCTGCAAACCTACCATCGCCACATGTTCCCTGTTTTATTTATGTAATACTGTGTGATAACCTTCTTTATACTTTCAGAAACACAGTTTTGCAAGTGAAAATCCAAGTTTTTTTCTTCTTTTTTGATTAAAAAAAATAGTTATAGGTATTATTTCAAAAACTGAACTATCTGCAAATTGTGCTCTGACAATATTTTTGTAAAACACACATTGCCCAGAAGTATTTCTCGACAAGCGCATAGTGTCTCTAGAGAAGAGTAGAGACTTCAGTACAGGCTTTTGATTTTTTTAGGCTGCCTTGTGCTGATATGTTTTGGTTTTGTTTAAAACAAAGGTTAAAGGGAGCAAAATGGAAAAAAATTAGAAAGAAGATAAAACAAGAGGGTCTGCAGGTGGGTAAAGAAAGACCGGGATGCATCACAGGGCCAGGAGCGGTCTGCGGAGGCCCTTTGGAGGAGGCAGCGGATGCAGCTCCCCCTTCCAGCCCCGTCAGTCCTGCTTGGCGTTGCCCAGAGCTCTGAGGCGCTCCAGGAGGGGAGGGTGGGAGTAGTGCCACATGGAGAACAACCAGTCAGCCACAGGGAAACCCAGGTTGTCCTTGTTGAGCTTGATGAGGGCAGAGTAGAGCTCGGAGGCTTTGCCCATGCTCTGTGCAAAGGCATCTGCCTGGAACTCAAACCTGCGACTCAAAACCGTAAGACAGAAGGACAGGAGCTGCAAAGACAGAAGACAAAAATACATTTGTGTGACGAAGTAGATATGTAAATAATGAAATGTGTCAACAGCTCAAAAAACATCTCATAGTCACCTCATTATATGGGGAGAAGATGAACTGGAAGATAATCATCAAGCCTATTAATGTGGGTTGGCTGTCATTGAAGCCAAAAGCTACAAACAGCTCCTTACGTCCAATCAGAACAGCGAATAGGGAGAAGCACAGGAAGGAATTCATCTGCAGAAACAAGAGTCAGCAGATGTTATTGACTTAATGGTTGTATTTGTTTGTGTCT